CAGTGGTATTTACAGGGCAATCGACGTCCCAAGTGGGTGCTGCTGGACGGCCGGCTGCTTTCGTGACAAACACCAGCAGGAAGTTTAAAAATTCTTCATAAAGCCTTTATATGGGAAAGAAAAAGGGCGAAAAATGGAATTCCAGCCTCCCCAGCCCTGCCCTGTGCTGAGCCAGTTCAGCCCCGGAGCCGCTCCATGGGACCAATAATTGCCTTCTGTTGCTGCAAGCCATGAAAACCCACCGAAACCCAAAGATTTATTTTTGCTCTGACATCTCGCTGGTTCAGATAGAAGCTAGCAGCAAGCAAAAGGGGAACGGGGATGTGCTGGGGCCAGGAGGAGCCTGCAGCACCAACAGATGGGCTCCTCCAGGCCTGCAGGATGCACGGATGCAGGCAGGAGGGATGGTTGTGCTCCAGGTACAGCATAGGAGGGAGGACAGAACTCTGATTGCAGCCTGGGCTGCTTGGTGCCATGCTCCCTGCGGCAGCTGCTGGCCCACACCGCTGCATTGTTCCATGACAGATGCTGCTGTCAGCAAGCAGCAGGAGAGAAAGGATAAAAGGGAGAGGGAAACCTGGCGAAGCCTCTGCTGCATCCTGAGCAAACGGGTTCTGTGGGAGCACCGACATCAGGGCTCGGTGGGGAGCCCCAATTCTGCACCAAGCGCTACTCGTTTTGGGAAAATAAGGGAAAAACCCAACAATAGAAAGATCCCGGAGAGGCTTTCCCTTTCTTCCTTTTTCTGCTTGAGTTCCTGCCATCCCTGCCAAGAGCGGGAGCAGCCGGAGGGCACCGGCTAATCCTGCCTCGCAGGTCCTGCCGTGGCTTAGGGCAGGAATTTGTGGCATTTGGGAGCAAGGGACGGCGCTGGGAGCCGTGGGGCAGCAGGAGCAGGGCTGGGCGTTCTGCACTGCTGCATTTGCTGCGTGCTGAGCTGCACCATGCAGTGCGTGCCAGGGCCGCCCGCTGTCCTCCTGTTGGCCAAGTACCTGGGGCGGGTTGCACAAGCACCTCTGTAATGCAGGGATGGAGCCAAACGAGACCAAACCCTGCGTGGAAGAGCTGCAAGCAGCTCAGCCCTGGGTGCTAAGCTCTGCTTTTTTCCAGTGCTCCCATCCTTCCAAACCCCACCCCAGGGCATGCACCCCTATAGGGTGGAATGGGGCAGATTTGCAAGAGGTCACACGCTGGCTGGAGCCACCATCAATTATCATCTCTGGATGATAACCGGCCACCAGCAGCATCGCTGGAGCAGCTTGCAATGCGTGGCCGTGCTCCGCTCCTCCCAGCTGCTGCAAGAACCCCCCGTGGTGCGCGGGGGGGGGGCAGGGCCCGATAGAAGCATGGGCTGGGATCAACGGTCTCGAGCACAGAAGAGCCGTCACTACACATTAACCAGCTGTCCGATGGAGCAACGCTTCGTCCTGGCCAAGATCAACAGTGCCCGGGAGCGCAGCCAGGAGATGGGAGCGAGCCGAGCCGGGCCGAGCTGAGCCGAGTTGAGCCGAGCCGAGCCGAGCTGCACTGCTGGGCTGCCCCGAGGCTGCACCAAGGGGGGGTCAGGATGTGTTGCATGGGGGGCACGGAGGGAATCGCACGGGAGGAGCGATGAAGCAGCCCCTGCATCTGTTCCACGCTGCACATTGGGCTCCTGCACGTCGCACGAGGGACGGGGAGGGGGGAGCTGCACGGGGCCGAGCGCCCCATCGCATCACACGTGGGGGTCGGGGGAATCCCCCCCCCCCCCCCCCCCCATCCCCCCCCCTGCCGGCCGTAGGGCGGAGCCTCCCCCGCGCCCGATGGAATTTTCCACTCTCCGCCGCCGCCGCGCGGTTCCCCGCTGGCCCCGCCCCCTCCGCGCGAGCGCGCGCGCACCGCCCCCCGAAGCCACGCCCCCATTTTCCCAGCGTGCCTTGCGGCAGCAAGATGGCGGCCGCCATGGCGGCTGGGCTGAGCAAGCTGGGCCGCGGGGTGCGCGGGGTGCTCGGGCCGTTAACGGGGGCGGGGGGGTGAGGAGTCGTGCGGGGAGCGACGTAGGGAGCCCCGGGGGGCTGCGGGGATGGGATCAGGTGCGGAGCCGGGCGGGCGGAGCGGAGGAGAGGGGTTGGCGGTGTCTGAGGGGTCAGGCATGGGCAGGGCCTGCTCACCTCCCCTTCCTCACATTCCCTCCTTCCCCCTTTTCCTCCCTTTTCCCCTGATTTCCCGCCCGTTTTCCCATCTTCCTCCCCCCCCCACCCCCCCTTTTCTTCCTCTTCTTCCCCTTTCCTCCCTTCCCCTTTCCTCCCTTCTCCCTCTTTCCCTTTCTCCCTCCTTCCCTTTCCCCCCCTTCCCCTTTTCCCCCTGTTCCCTTGGCTGTGGTTTCCCTCTCCCAGCCCAGTTCTGTGTGAGGTGATGATGACATTTCAGTGAGAAGGGAAATCTCTCACTGTGTTGGTGTTGTTTCTTGCCCTTTGGGCTCAGCACGTGCTCTGTTGCTTCTCCCTTAGGCCGTGGAATCACTGCTGCGTCCCCCCAGAGCCATTCCAGCCTGTCTCGTTGTTCCTGTGAGGACAAAGCGGAGACTTTTTGTCCCTGAATGGGCCCGGGAGCTGCCCCGTGAAGAGAAGGAGAAGAGACTGCAGTCCTTGGTCAGAACACTTCCTGAGGATCGCATGGAACGGGCCTTTTACTTGGCCTGCACAGGTGGCAGTTTGCTGTGGTCTCTTCTAAAGGACACAACTAAGGCAGACTAGAAATACTGTGACTGCATTAATAGTATCTGCATGCAGCAAACTGAATGACTTGCTCTGCCCTGGGGGAGTGATAGCAGCTGCCCTGGTGCTGTCAGCCCTGTGTCTCCTGTTGGCCCCGTTGTACCCAAGGACCAGGAATAGCATGGGAGGCCGTGCTCCCTGCTGCTGGTTGTCTTATCCTCATACCTCAGGGCTGCATGGAAGAGAAGGAGAGCAGGCAGTGTAGCACAGCTTGTCAGCAGTGAGAAGTGCCCCCATTATTTATCCCAATGCTCTTATTTCATCCTACAAATGTTTTCAATCCTACTTCTCCAGCCCCCAGCAACCAAAGTGGTGCCTCTTTGTCTCCTTGATTCCCCTGCTGACCTCCCTTTCTCTCATGCAGCCAGTATTATAGACCCTTACGTCCCTCCTGAGGGTGATGCCCGCATGACTTCCCTGTCCAAAGAAGGGCTGAAGCAAAGAATGGAGAAGCTGAAGCAGACTGCTGCCTCTCAGTTGGCGTACGTACCTGCTTTTCAGTTAGTCTGTAGTGCTGAAGTTTTGCTCAGTTGCACTACAACTGGGTAATGCACTTGTCATAATCTGAAACACAGAGAAGACATTTATCATTTGCTCAGAGGTTTTTCTTGTCTTTTCAGCCTGCGGAAGGTAAAGGATCACGATCCAAATTTCAGCACTAAAACTTTCCCAGAGATGGCACAGGAGATATATGTTGAAGCTCACAACAGTCTGGCAAAGTAAGACCCATTCTGACCAATGGGGTTACGTAGGACTTGCTTCTCTTTGCATACATGCTCTGGTTTTCTTGTATCCTTGTATCTCATTTGCAACAAGTACTTTATCTTTTGCTGCCCTCATGTGTTTGAACAGGAGGTGGCATTGGTGGTTTGGGAGACACTTTTGCTTTTCGTAATGAAAATCAAGTTGCAGAAAATTCATCTTGACCTGACTTGAGAAGCAGATAAGCTGTTGTACCATTGGGTGTTGGCAGCAGATGAGTGTGTGCTCAGGGCTGCTCAGCATCGTGCCTCAGCAATATTCCACTGATTTGCTCCACTTTTTAGTAATAGAACGTGTTTTAAAACTGCATCATGCTTGGTTACAATTTCAAACATCAGTTGAGGATTTAGGCCACAGCTGGCTTCCAAAGGGTGTCCTCATGTCTTCCCCTGCAGTCCTTTAACCAGCCTGTGTTCTGACTTTGTACTGAGGTCACAGCTGAGAATCTCACTTCTTTTGCTTTGCCAATGGGTTGTGAATCTTCTAGAGAAGCAGGAATTTGTGAGTAAGCCTCTTCACAATGCATGTGTTTGAGTAACTGGGTGTGTTTCACTTGCAGTTTTAACAAGCAGAAACTTCACTCCCTGGTAACAGAGCGCTGCTACCCGGTAGGTGTTTATCTGGGTGTTACATTTCCTTGATTGGGTTTAGAGATCCCTAAAGATTGTAGAAGAGATGAGGAATTCTCTTTTTTTTTTTTTTTCCTCACCCAAACACGGTAAAGACAAAATAGGAAAGCAAAGTCTGAGTAGTAATGCAGCATTCGTTCAGTACCTGCCTATAGCAGTTTGCTTCTTCAATTCACACCCCAGTGAAGTTGGTGCTGACTTATTTTTTTTTGCTTTCTAGGACATGGTCCGTGGCAACAGGTACAAAACCATCCGGTGGAGCTTCGTGGAGTCACTGGAGCCTCCACGAGTGGTTCACATTCGGTGCACCAGCATTGTGAACCAGGGCAACCTGTACGGGCAGGTGACGGTGCGGATGCACACCAGGCAGGTACGTCTCCTCCTTCCTCCTGCCTTTCCCAGCTGACTCCAGCTCAGTGCATCTTTCTGTTTGCAGACTTTGGCCATCTATGACCGCTTTGGGAGGCTGATGTACGGTGGGGAGCAGCTGCCCAAGGATGTTTTGGAATATGTTGTGTTTGAGAGGTACTTGGTCAACCCTTATGGTACGTGGAGGATGCATGGCAAGATCATCCCAGAGTGGGCTCCACCAAAGGACCCCATTGTGAAGGTAAAGCCATGAGGAACAGCATGGCCTATGTCTGCAAACTGCAGGTTCTCTATCTTCCTTTGTTCCTAAAATCAGGCCATCCTCCTGTGCAAGGCAGTGGCGCTGCCAGAACCCTCTGCTTTCTCATGCTCTTATTACAGCTGCATGACATGCTGATTTTTGTCCTTGCTCTTTCAGACCGTGATGATTCCTGGCCCAACCTTGGATCCCTCGCAGGAGTATGAGGAAATGAAGTAGGGAATTTCAGAGCCTGTACACAGAGAGAAGTGCAAACAACCCTGGGGGGGCAAAGCAGGGAATGTCTGTGGAGGCAGCGAGATGGACGTAGCTGTGCCTTCAGTGAGCTGTCAGCAAACAAAGCAGCTTCAGAAATGGACTCCAGGCACTGAGAAACTGCCTTAAAAAAGGAGCAAAGAGGGACTTGGGTTCACGTGAGCTCTAAGAGCTGTGGGGCTGCTCTCCTGGCTGACTTCTGTGTTTGCCACCAAGAGCTGCTGTCAGCACACATCTGGGCAGATGTGGGGTATAGGATAGACCTGGGGGACTCTCACAAAAGTCTGCAGCAGAAGCTGGTGGTGATTTCTTTTCCCATTCTTCCCCCATCTGCACAAATTTCGGGTTATTTTATTTTACCAGAAGAGCAACAAGCACGCTTTAAATTGGTTTCTCCTGGGTGGATGCTGCAGTTGGAGTCCTGCTGAACGCGTGCTTGTTGCTGGCCAAGCTGAATACTTCAATAAAACTTGTGATTCGTAAGTTTAGTGTTTGTGTCAGTTAACATCAGAAGGCAACACTTCTCACAGCTGGTGTGAGTCTCACAGCAGACATCGGTAGTGGCTAACTGGCACCATCCTGTGGACGTTGTGACATTGACACCAGGCCCTCTGGTTTTGCAGGTTGTGTGTGTCTGAAAGCCTCACGCCTGTGCACTCACCCAGTGTTTCTTGTGGATGCTGTTCTGTGTTACTGTCACGCTCTGCTAGGAGAGCAGCCAGAGTTGGAATCATCTCTTGGTAATTGGGGGTGTCACAATCTGTCTGCCTCTCCTGGAGGAATCCACAGCATGGAGCCTTCTGCTCAGGAGCCAAGGAGAGGCAGTGCTGCAGCACATGGCAGTGGGGCTGGGAGCAGGAATATTGTGAGCAGCCTGGTTGGTGGATGTGGCTGAGACTCAACCATGGGCACAGCCCTCCTGCTCAGGTTTTGAACTAAAGGAGTGTATTTTCCAGGAGAGCAGCATTTCTTTCCAGTCTAGTGTTGTCTCCCCATCACCTTTGCTGATATTTGGACTGTGATATTTGCTTTGATTCAAGCACTGCTGTTCCTGGGCTTTCTTTGCAGCCTCTCTGCTTTCTGCTGCAGCTCATCCCTGAGCGTACCCCCATTAATCAGCCACTGTGAGTACTCAGGGTAAACATTTATTTCCTAGCTGTACACTTCCTTACACGAGTGGGTGATGGATAGTTGGTGCTGAAGATCCCAATGCTCCTCCCAAGGAGAGAGGAAGCAAATGGAGAAGGGATGGTGGGACAAACCCCACATCCAGCAGTGCTGGGCTCTGGGCAGTTGCTCTCCTCCACGTTGCACTGCAGCTGCCCCTGCTTTGCCTCCCCCTGAGCTCGTGACAGAGCATGAACCACAGCCCCATGGTGCTCGGGGCCCTGATGCCATTCAGCTCAGTGATGCCCAAACACTTCAGAGCCCGGATCTCTGACACAGGCAGCATCGTTGCCCCGTTTGTTGTGGATCCCCATCCTGGCTGCCAGTCACTGCAGCACTGTGGCTTTGTTTGACACTTCCATCCCCATCCACGCAGTGTGGGCAGCTCCCTGCACCCCAGGGCTGAGCTGAGTTTTACTCATGATCCCACGGACAGACCTCAGCGCTGGACCCTCCTGCAACCCTCTCACCCTCCCCAGGGCTGTTCTCCCATGGGCGCACAGCAGCCACTCCCTGGGTTGGGCTGCTGGGTGCTGCTGGACCCTCCTCAGCTTCCCAGGGACAGATCTCAGCTGTGCTGGGCCCGCTGTGCTGCTGGGCTGTGTGAGTTTGCCCCGGTGCTGCAGGCAGGATGCGGCACAACGCCCGGTGCTCCCTGACCCCAACATTGGCTGCTCCCCTGGGCTGTTCTCCAGGGCTGCAGCTCTCCTGCCCAGGTTCTCCAGGCTCTGCTGCTTCCCAGGGGCAGATGGCAGCTCTGCTCTCTGCGCTCTCACGCTTTCTGGATCCTTCCTTCCCTATTGCCGTGCTCAGGGCTGGCTCCTCTGCCCCCACGCTCTCCCAGGGGCACACAGCCCCACGTTCACTGTTCCCCATCCCTGCAGCTCTGGAATCTCCCAGGCTCTTCGCCTTCCCCGGAGCTCCTTCCCCCAGATCTTCCTCCCAGGGGCAAATCTCAGCTTTATCCCTGGCTTTGGGCCCCTGACCCCTCAACGTGCAGAGCTCTGCACTCTCCCAGGGGCACACAGCCTCACGTTCTGCACTGCCTCTCTGCTTTGCAGACACGCTTTCTCCCCTCTCTTTCTGCAGACCCCGACGTGCAGCAGCACCTTTGCTCGCTCCTGATGCACCTTCCTGGGCTTCTCTCAGTTCCTCTCTATCAGATGGGGGAGCAGCCCCCTCCCAGGGGCAGATTTCCTCTCTCCCCCCGGAGCTCCCCAGCGTCTCCCAAGGGCAGACCTCTGCCTTTGGGCTCTCAGCACTGCGGGACACCCCCAGGCTCTCCACGGACCGTGCAGGGCTGACGAGAGCAGCCTGACGTGTGATGCGCTTCGCAGCCCCCCCAGAGCTCAGCTTCATCCTCGGCTGCTCTGCAGGAGGGGTGGCTGTTTCCCAGGGGCAGATCTCCTCCTTGCTCCTCCCTGGCCCCTCCTGACTTTCCCAGGGGCAGATTTCTGCTTTGCTGACCCCTGGCTCCTCCTGTTCCTCCCAAGGGCAGATCTCCACTTTGCTCCCACCTGACCCCCCCTGTCCTTCCTGAGGGCAGATCTCTGCCCCCTGACTTTCCCAAGGACAGATCTCCTCTTTGCTCCCACCTGATCCCCCCTGTTTCTCCCAGGGGCAGATTTCTGCTTTGCTGACCCCTGGTCCCTCCTGTTCCTCCCAAGGGCAGATCTTCACTTTGCTCCCACCTGACCCCCCCTGTCCTTCCCAAGATCGGNNTTCCCAAGGGCAAATCTCTGCTTTGCTGCTCCCTGGCCCCCTCTGTCCTTCCTGAGGGCAGATCTCTGCTTTGCTCCCCCCTGACCCACCTTGACTCTCCCAGGGGCAGATTTCTGCTTTGCTGACCCCTGGCTCCTCCTGTTCCTCCCAAGGGCAGATCTCTGCTTTGCTCCCACCTGATCCCCCCTGTTTCTCCCAAGGACAAATTTCTGCTTTGCTGACCCCTGGCCCCTCCTGTTCCTCCCAAGGGCAGATCTCTGCTTTGTTCCCCCCTAACCCCCCCTGACTTTCCCAAGGACAGATCTCCTCTTTGCTCCTCCCTGACCCGCCCTGTTCCTCCCAAGGGCAGATTTCTGCTTTGCTGACCCCTGCCCCCCCCTGTCCCTCCCGGGGGCAGATCTCTGCACTCTGGGATTTCCTTGGCTCAGCATTCCCCCTCTCAGTGCTCCCTGCAGAGATCCAGGTCTCCCCGCTCCCCCCCGGACCCCCACCCCTGTCAGTCTGCTGTGCTCTGTGCTCCTCAGTCCCCCTCCACCCAGGTTTGCCATCCCCTTTGGGAACCCCGCACGCATCCAGCTGCACTCCTCCCTCCCCCCCAGCCCCCCTCTCTGTGTCCCATGGGCAGACCCCTGCCCCGCTGCCCCCCACCCCTGGAGCTGCACGGCGTGGACCATCCTCATCCTCACCCCCGCTGCCCTCCCAGGGGCAGATCTCCCTTTGACCCCCAGCCCCCATCCGACCCCACTCTGCACTCCTGCTCCTGGTGGGCAGCCCCTCAACCCCCCCCCCACAAGCAGCAGGCTGGCTGCCACCCTTCCCCAGCACCTTCATGGGGCTGCCTCCCACCGATGGGACCCCCCCAGTTCCCTCCTGCTGGGACACAGACCCCACAGGGGCACTCAGTGCTTCCCAGGGACAGACCTCAGCCCTCGGCCCCGTGCCCCTTGCACCCTGTGCTACACACAGGGAGTCAGTGCCATCGGGCTGCATGGCCACCGAGGGTGACATCGGGCCCTCGCCAGCACCCGTGCCCCCCCCAGCAGCACCATCCCTCTGTCCCTCTGCTGTCCCCTCGCTGCCCCCCATCACTGGGGTCTCGGATGCAGAGCTGGTGGTGATGCACTGAGAGGGGTCCGCATCCCCATCCCGCAGGTTGGGATCTGGGCTGCTCCATGCCGGGGGGGTTGGGGGGGTCCCTACCAGGGCGGGCTGCCCCCCTCCGCCGCCCCCCTCCCGCTCACATCCCCGTTTCCGAGCGCTGCCCTCTCTGCTCCCTTTCAGGCTGCGTTTCACTCTGGAACGATTGATGGCTCTGATGGCGAATCCCAAACTCCTGAAAGCCTTTTGTGGGGGCGGCTTGAGGCTCGGGGGGGTCCCCGCCGTGTCCCCGGGGGGGTCGGAGGTCGGAGGTTCGCCGCCGTTCTGTTTCTGCCTCAGCATCTCCTCCTGGAGCAGCTCCCACGGACAGACCTCGGCGGGGGTGGGGGGAGCGGAGCGCAAACCCGACGGGGGGGACGCGCGTTCCGCTGCCGATCCCGCGGGCGGCCCTGGAGGCTCCGCGTTGTCCCCGTGGCGGTGCGGGAGGCTCTGGTAGCGCACGGGGGGGGGCGGGGGGGTCCTTTTTACCACCACACGCACCCGCCCCACGGGATGGGGGCCGTCCGCGCTGACGCTTTTGACGGGCGCGTAAGTGACGCGTTTCGTCCCCTTGCTGTCAGGCGGGGGGGACGCATCGCGGGGGGGACCCCCGTCAGGCAGCGGGGCGGGGGGGGTGGCAGCGGCCGGGGTTGCGGCGGTGCTGCGGGACACCCCTCCCTGCTCGGGGGGTCCCCAGGACGGGGTGACCGCACCCGCACCGGCGCTCAGCGACTTCTGCAGAAGCACCGCGCGGAGCCGGGCGGGCTGCCCGTGTCCCCCGAGCTGCTGGGCGCTGGCCGACCTGGGCAGCAGCGGAGCAGCACACAAAGATTCGCTGTCGGACGGCTCCGTGCATCCCCCCGCCGCCGCGTCCTGTGCGGGATGCTCGGAGTTGCGGGATCGGAGCTGGCCGCCCCCCTCCCGGCCCCCCCCGCCGGTTCCGTCGTGCGGCCGTTTGGACGAAGAGCGGCGGCTGCCGGAGCTGCGCGCTGGGGGCGGCGCGGGGAGGTGCGGGTTGCGGGCCGCCATCCGCCTCGTCCGCAGCATCTCCAGCTGCGCGTACAGCTGCTTCAGCTCCTCCTGCGGGGGGTGGGGGACAAAAGGGGGGGGAGGGCGTCCGACGAGACCGAACCGGGACCCGACGCCGCGTCCGTCCGATCCGCACCGCCCCGCGATGCGCCGTCCCCGCGTCCCCGCGAGGGGGGACCGCACTCCCCCCCGTCCCCCCACCAGCCCCCCCGCTTTGCATCAGGAGAAAGATCGCAACAGGCACCTCTTCCTGTGCGGGGCGGCACAGCGAGCGTCAAAAGAAGGTCCCGAGCGTGTCACCCACCCGGATGTCATCGGGGTCGAAGCTACGCTCGCTCCATGCGGACGCGATGCTGCTGCTCATCCCGGAGCGCCGCGCGTCCACCTCATCCTCGTACACCTCCGCCGCGATCTCCTCCCGCAGCGGCGATCCGGCGTGCAGGAACTGCGGCGGGGCAGCACGAAGGGAGCCCCAAACACATCGGAGCCCGCGGCCACCTCCCCATAACCACCGCCCCATAACCACCTCCGCGTTGCCTACTTCCCCATAACCCCCCTCCATTGCCCACCTCCCCATATCCCATAGCCACCACCCCACTACCCATTTTCCCATAATCATCACCCCATAGCCACCACCTTAGAACTGCTGCACACCTCCTCACATCCCATCTCCCCACTGCCCAACTCACAGCCACCACCCCACTGCCCACCACCCCATAGCCACCTCCCCATAGCCATCATCCCATACCCAACACCCCATAGCTGCTACCTCATAACCACCACCCCACCACCCACCTCCCCATAGCCACTATCCCATAACCACCTCCCCATAACCACCATAACCCCGTTGCCCACCTCCCCATAACCACCTCCCCATAGCCACCACCCCACTGCCCACCTCCCCATAACCACCACCCCATAGCCACCACCTTACAACCACCACCCCACTGCCCTCCTCCTCATATCCCACCTCCCCATTGCCCAACTCCCCACAGCCACCACCCCACCGCTCACCATCCCACACCACCACCCCACATAGCCATCATCCCATATCCATCACCACCCCATAGCCACCACCCCACTGCCCACCTCCCCAAATCCCACCTCCCCATAGCCATCATCCTATACCCAACACCCCATAGCCACTACCTCATAACCACCACCCCACCGCCCACCTCCCCATATCCCACCTCCCCATAGCCACTATCCCATAACCACCTCCCCATAACCACCATAACCCCGTTGCCCACTTCCCCATAGCCACCACTCCACTGCCCACCTCCCCAAATCCCACCTCCCCATAGCCCTCCCATCCCCCACACCCGCGGGCTTAGGGCCGTGCATTACCTTTGGGACAAAGAGCAGCCCCAGGGTGACAGTGACAGTGCCGTGGGTGTGGGCAAAGCAGAGCAGCAGCATCCAGTCGGGATGTAGTGATGGTACAGCAACGAACCTGGAGGGGGGGGAAGGAGGCACCGTGGGGGCACCCACGGTGCAGAGCAATGCTTTGCATCCACGTGGGCATCCCGCACCATACCTGACCGCGTGGAAAGCGACCGAGAGGAGCAGCTCATTGTGCAGCGCAATGCCCATATAGCGCGGCTCGTGGAAGGCGGAAGGCACCGCACGTGCAGCCCAGCACAGCGCGCTGCCCCACAGCAGGAGGAGCAGCTCGGCTGTAGGACAGAACACACAGCATGGGCACCTCTGTGGATACGCGGAGCGGAGGGGAGGGCTGCGAGCACCGGGGGAGGGGAGAGGTGGGAGCTCAGCCATCTCTCACCGACCACCATCATGTAGTCCCAGCGGTCGTGGCTGCAGACGGAGAAGTGCAGCCCTCGGGCAGTCTGTGCACGGACCACCAGCGGGACGTTCCGGCCGATGTTCTCCAACGCTGCCACGGTCCACGCTGCCAGGAACCACAGCGGGGGTAGCAGCAGCAATCCCAGAGCCCGCAACACGCGCCCGCTGGCCGTGTAGGACACACGCTGTGCTGCACGGGCCAGGAACGCCCTCAGCACCCTGCGGGATACCGGGGGTGAGCGTGGGGTCGGACCCCATCCAGCATCCAAGCAGGAATCCTCCTCCTTTCCCCCCTCCCCCACTACCTGTACAGCTTTAGGGTGATGGTGCCGTACACGATGGCGAAGCCCAGCACGCGCACCCAGCGCAGAGCGATGCAGCGGAAGGTGCTGGGCTTGAAGTAGAGGATGAAGACCTGGGGGGGAGGATGGTGGTGGTGTGGAGCTGCAGAGCTGTGCCTGTGCAGCAGCCCGTGTTCAGCTCATAGATCCCGTGGCGTCGGGGAGAAAGGGGAAAGGCTGTGGCAGCGCTTGGGGCAGCCGGGCTCCCCGCCCACCCTCTGCTCTCTGGCACACAGGGGGGAGTTGGGCAGGGGGTCCATGCTCATGGCCATGGGGAGGAGGAAGGAGGTTTGGTTTCCTAAGAAGATTCTGCCCACAGCTGTCAGATCTGTGCCGGCAATGACGACGGTGGGGGTGCAACAGTGCTGCGTCCTGCCTGGCGCCAAGTCCTGACCCACGGCAAAGCCCCACAGCTCTGCCCCATAGCTCTGCCCCGTGGCAGCGGGGTGCAGTCTGTGGGGTTTCCTGCAGGGAGGTGCGGGGGTTTCTGCAGGAGGGGGGGTTTGGCCGAGCACTCACAGGGAAGTAGAGCAGCAGCGACCCGAAGAGGATCGTCTCCAGGAGCACAACGCCCGACGCCCGGATCCTCTGCGGGGACAGAGGGACATCAGCAGCGCTCGGGGCGTGGAGGGGGGGCGTCCCTCCGGCAGGGGGGGAGGGGACACCGAGGCGGTGGGATCGCGGGGACCCCGCGCTGCTCTCGCCTTGCTTCTCCGGCAGTGATAAGCGAGCAGCATGCAGAGGAACACGGCCAGCATGCAGCACGCCTGGCAGCACAGCACGGCCGCACGCAACGCGCGATCCTCCTGCACCTCGCAGGGCGCATCGTCCCGGCAGCTCGCACAGCCCTCCCGGCACCGGCGGCACGCCAAGCGAGCGGCATCCTCAGGCGGCACTGCGGATGGAACGGGGGGATTTGGTGTCCCAAAGCATCGCCTCGTGCGCCCTGCGGGGCTGGGGGGAGGGGGGAGTCGGGGGGGTTGCACGGCACGCACCTGTCCCGGCGCTGAGCCCGTAAAAGCCCGGCTTGCAGCGACACGCGTACTGCCCCAACACGAAGCCGCGGTTCTGCTGCGGGACGCACTGCGGGGTGGGGGTACGGCTGCTCTGCGGGGTCGTCCCGTACTGCACCCAGAACCCCCACCGGGCAGCGGGGGCTGCGGCAGCTCGGTGACAGCCGACCCCCCCCTTCATCCCCCGCGCCGAGCCCGGAACGCAGCGGTTAAACATTTGGGAATTAAAAGGCAAAGCCTGGCACCCAAATCCCCCCCTAAAACCTAAATGGACACCTAATGCGGCGCGGTGCTAATCCGGGGGGGGGGTGGAGCGGCCCCTAATCCATGCGGGTAGGAGGGACGGGGGGCACCCCGGGGGTCGGGATGCCGCTCGGGTTCACCCCGAACTCTGAGTTGCGGTGGGCGCAGCCGATGGGGGAGCAGTGCCAACCCCCCCGGGGACGCTCTGCCCATCGGTCCCCGCTGTCCCCACGCGGGTGGCAGCCGGGTCACCCCACGGCGCTGCCGAGGGAGGGAGATTTGCACAATAAACCGCAGAGCGATGCGGGAGCGGCAGATGGGGGC